TTCAAAGAGATCTTCATACAAAATCAGCGTAAAATACGTACCCTGAATTTAGATTTAAGAGGGGCAGTCAATCGCTGCCGCTTCAGTGGAGTGCTTGAGGAAATACCCTGAGTGATAGCTTTGTGTTTCTGACGACTACTTGTTGCGGTCTTCGAGGACGATGACAACGACGATGTTGAGGTATTGACAGCATATAACGACTGGACAGCAGTATTAGTAAGAGATGACGGCTTTCCGGACAATTGCAGCAAGGCATCCTCCAGCTGCCGCTGACATGTGGCCACATGCGCCAAAATATCCTCCAACTCGAACTGCAATGAGTCCAAATCATCAGAAGCAAAATGCACACCAGTGTCGTCTGTGTCCGTCACTAAACAACGATCTATTACAGAATTTCGCAAACAATACACCTAAATAATGAGTTCTGTCTCGATCACATTCAAGAAACAGACATTATCGCATCTTTTATAGAGCCATGAAACAGAGGACTCTAATCTGGATCAATCAAGAACCGTTCTTAGAGATATTCGGAGTTGAAAAGCTCCATTATCAGGCATATATCGAAAGAAATTATTACCAGAGGACATTCTGTCTGGCATGTATCAAATATTCTAAATCCTGTTGATGGCGTTCACATACTTTTGCAAAGCACTGCCTCTGCCAAAGCAAGAAAAATCATATTGAAGTTAGAGAGGCGACTGAATGAAGACGGCGCGTCTGTAAGAAGTGACATGAGAATTTTGTCACTCGTTCGATGAGAGAGCAGATAAAGCAAACTTTATACGTCTTCTTTGACACTTTAACAGGGATCTACTGAACGGAAGAAAATCTAAGCCTCGAGGACGTCGACACCTGCAACTTCATTTCTCTGTTCAAAAAGTCTAATCAATTCAAGTTGGGTCTTAACATTCTTTCACAGTATAATCAATGATACGATCACTACCGATACAGGAAGCAGTTTCATCCAACAAGCAGGTGATGAAAAGAGGTTAGGTTCGGGCCAGTCTAAAAACACTAGGTGTATGTGGTCAAAATTCACACATATTCTGACTGCCAACGGTTCAACGCCATTCACTGAGACCGTTTTGGTTTTGGATACTTCCGAAATATGACCGACATTTCGATGGCTACAGAAGAGCACCGGTTCGTTTTAAGCTCTACCGCTGCTCATCTAGAAGATCCAAAAGTTTGCGAAATGACACGCAAGCGTTACAGAAGAATACCAGTTCGATATTAAATCGTTTACACAGACTTCACGGGAACAATGCCAAAACAACAAGGCTGGATGTTGGTGACGTAATCTAATGTGAAGAATACAGATTACGAAACGAGTGTTAAAAATGCTACGAAAGCCAGCTCCATTTAGTCTTAATGTCATTGATAAGCATCACATGTTAAATCATAGATGGGAAATGGATCATTCCTAAAGATGAAGACGATGAAGTCCAAAAACACTTTCCTTTCTTGCTGGTGCGACATTTAATTTACCTTCTGGGTTCAGCAACGATTGATTCCGGTGACTACGAAGCAGAGCTGTCATACTCGATTCGAGCCTAGCACAAAACGCAGATGTATCCTAGCTATCGAAGTTAATCTGACGAAAGCAATCAGTAATCAAGGGAACATACAGAACAAAGAATGAATGCAACAGCTAAGGCGTACCTTCAGTTTCACGAGAATTTATCGAACCGTTTGAAAAAGGCATGCTTTTAACAAAATTATATATTTTTATCGCAAAGGTGTGCATGTTGAGAGGCAAGCGCACACTGCATTTTTTTTTGTATTTTTATTGCATTTGCCTTACTCCTCCATTATGTGAGGTGGAAGAATGAATTACTTCGGAATATTAGTATGAACAAATTATTAAAATATGTTCATAAACTAAAAACTAAGCATTTCATGTCCTACGAGTTAAATGACGACGATACTTTTGTAAGATGAAGAAAAACCGAATGATCATTGCTCTGGGGGCGTATTCATATCTAGTGTTCCTTGTCATCTATTTAATACTATATAAGCCATCTGCTGCGTGCCACCTGGATGGCTAAATAGCTGACCGTTCACAGAAACATTCATGTTATACAAACTTTAAAACAACCAAGAAGCGAAAAATATTTTAATACTCACCCCATGAAAAGCATATAAATTTAAATTCTAATGGATGAACATTCATTATGGATGGATACATCTTTTACATTACACGCATATTACATAAAATGAATATGAAGCAGAAATAACATTATGGGAGAACTGATTTTGGAAGAACGTTTCCCGCGAGGTTTTCTCTTTACAGCTTCAAGCACATAAATGAAACTTTAACGTGACAACCATCAACAAAAGTCACTAACATCCATAAATATATCTGACACTTAGGACAACACATATGCAGTAGTCATCATACAATAGGAGGGTGCTGAGCTTCAGCTGTCCCTTTATTGGCAATTACACACAGTTGCATTGTATTACCGGTTGGTCGATCAAGACTTCTTAGAACAGAAAAGCACAATTATAGAGAAAATCTCAATAACCAGTCAGCTGAAACCTTGTGAAAACTTCAGAAACAAATATTCGACTCGTTTTCGAAAGCAGCCTTTTGTTTCTAACAGAAATTTTTGCCGTACATAAAAACAGCTGCTGAATGAGCTAATCACCCAAAGAGAGCTCGACAGAGGGCTCGTGCTTACAAACTGGCAGAGTCTTCTGAGGCTATTAGGTCCTAAGATTCCTCAATCATGAGTAACAGGAAAATATTTTCCTTACCGTAGCTGAATTTAATTATTAACTTGTTTCCCCGCGGCCATCATCATGTGAGGCACTACAAAGAGACTGAACAGCACAGTTGCCCCGTCCACATCAGTTAAGTCATGGGTCACCTAGGTGCTGAATAGGTGCTCTTGACCAGAAAAGTCGCTCATTTTAATGACATCCTGATGTGACATTCGCCACTGTGCGAAGACAATTGTCCGCATGAATGCAGTCATTCGACGTATATCGATTCAAGGACATAAACTATCGCAGAATATAAAGCAGAAAAGAAACAATTAGGCAGTATCAGCAAACAATCAAAGACTATTATACATAAAAGAAATTGTGTTTAAAGATCTTGTTTTGCTTTCATTCAGAATTAGGACTTCTAGAACGCAAATCAACTGACTTTAGTACTAAAATTTGAGATAAAACGTGAGAGGAAAATGAAATTGGTTCAAGAAAATGAGCTTGATCAGCTGGTCAAGGAAATATGCATAATGCAAATACAATCTGAATAGTCTAATAAGATGGATCCTGACAAATCAAAAACAGTAACTGGAAACGTTGGTTCCTTAATCGGAAACAATCGCGTAGTCGATCACTTTATTGCAGAGGAAAGACGTACCAACCTACAAAATAAACGGTGACTTCACAGCTGATTGCCAAGGTCAACATTGCACGTTATTATCTAAAAGGTCAACATAAACATATGGAAGTGAAGCACAGCAAGTTTACAGTGTAAAGCAAAGTCAGGTAGGAAGTAAAAATATATCAATTCAATGAACAATCCACAGGGGCCGCAACATTCGGTTTGTTAATAACAGAAAAGTTATTAGAATGCCAATAAAAGCGAAGTTACATACTTCATCATATTGCTTTTTGACCTTTTGAACACCCAAAATCGTCGGTCACAGAGATAAAAGAAATATGATACACAGTTAACCAAAGTTTCGACAACACTGCCGGATCGTCCAGCTCAAATGGCATTTGTCACCCATCAGTAACAACAAGACTTGCAAGAAACGAACGCTGAGGCAAACGATGATAGCAGATGACAAACATGAAGTGTGACAGGACTGGTGTTTACTGCTGCTTACCGGTCGAAGATAAGACAGGGCAGCTCGAGGCGACGTCAAATTCTTTAAATTTCAAGAACTGAATCGACATCGCTTCGTCATCCGATTCGTCGATCGCTGCCAGCCGCTGCAACTGAGGAGGGCGCAAACGCTTAGATTTTAGGTTGCTGACACTTGGCTTTGGCCTTGTCTTCGATGTCTTGCTCCCTGAACGATTCTTCATGTTCAGATGGATTCCCAAATCCGCTAAAGAGCGCGGTTTGGATTCACCTCTAGCCAAACACAGTAGGACTTATAACAAGTGTTATCATTATAACCTGCAGATCTTAACGTATATACTATAACACGAAATCCGACAGAAATTCAAATTTTAAAAATGAGGTAAAGTTTGTGGAAGCATCGAATCTCTACAGTAGCCATTACGATATCGCAGCTGTTGATCATGTTAAAGTTGAAAAATGTTTCATTGGCGCGAAATTTCTTAGGAAGACTATGCCGTTAAACGACATTTGCTAACCGATTTCTAAAGCAGTTTCGCTTTTAATAGAGTTTGTAGTTCGTCATGTGGAA